GGAGGGCTTCTAGTGTCCTGACCCCACTGGTGGACCTCCTGATGGCACCTGGTATTTTTGGCCACTATGTGACAGAGTGTTGGACTGGATGAGCCATTAGCCTGATCCAACATTGGCTTCTTTTATGTTCTTACGTTCTTGCCCAGCCCAAGTTTGCAACCTTGTTGAACATCTAGGCATTTGAGGACAGGTAGTGGGCACCATAACAGAATGTTTCCAAGGCATGTGGCAAGTACTGAACATCCAACTTCAAAGTGCTGGAATGTTCCACAAAATGTTAGGATGTTCCAAGCCAAGTGTCCTCCTATGGTGTGACAGCTGTTTCTGAATGGGTGCTCCCCACAGACACAAAGGTGGTACCTCCCGGGCTCTTCTGAAGCATCTCCTGCTCTTGTGGGATAGAGGAAAGTCAAGCTCGGCTGTTTTGCATTAGGGAAGAAGCAAGCAGGTGCCAGGAAACACAAGGAGACACAACTGGGTGCGCCATGGGCCCCACAGTGCTTTCAGATCACAACGCTGGCTTCTCTAACTTGTGAATTCCCTCATTGTGGATGTGGCATCTGCCCTCACAGTGAGTTTTGCCACTGCCCTGGCACCTCCGAATTCTGTCTGGGCAGGTGTGTGTAGCCAAATGCGTCTGTTCATACTGGCAGATGTTATAGGGCCTGGTCTACACTTACGATGAAGCAGCTAAGCAATTGGAATTGATACAATTCCAGTTCAGCTTGAAGGTGGGAGAATCCATTTTCAATGCTCTCTCTCTCAAAAAATGAGTAGCACACCTTATAAGAAGCTAGTACTTGTAGGGAGGATTTTTTTTTAATGTAATGGGAGTATTGAAAAGAGAAAGTGTGACCTATTTACAGCCTGGAATGGTACAGTCCAGTCTGTCATCTCCTATGGCTGGAGGGTCTCCCACATTGTATGGTTGCATTCCCAGCACCTCTAGTTAAAGGCTCCTGCATAGCTGGTGCTGGGAAAGAACTTGCTATGCCCAAGAGCCTATTGGGTTTTGTAAATAAGAAGCTGGAGACTGACCAATTATGAAGGTGCACTGAGAGTTTATAAAGTTATAAAGGTGAATATATACAGAGATATTTACAGGCTATTGAACAGCATGCCGTGCCTTAGTCTATGAGAACTAAGTCATATCTAGCTAGCTAGCTAAACAGCTATTATGCTAAACCCCAGCCAATCTCTAACAAGGTGATGTAATCTCTAACTCTAACAAGACCTGTAAGGGCAACACCTGCTAGAAGCACCTGGCTGTAATTACATGATTACTAGCTTGACAGCTAGGTTTGACAGACAGATCAAACTCATCTACAATAACTGCTTGCTACCTTAGACACTCTGACATATATCTCAATAGAGCCTGGAGAACTACTGCTAGTCAGAGTAGGCAGTTCTGAGATAACAAGCTGGTTCAGTGTAAAGTAGCCATATAACTTTCAAAATAATTTGAAAAATAAGCAGTTCAATTCAGAATTTGACTTGTTTGAGCAAACTGTTGTGTTGTCCTGTACGTTGGCTTTGTGTTTTGCATATAGTCTGGAACCTCTTTCTGAGGAGCGAGGGTCACAATCCACATGCCGAGTCCTCCCATGAAAGTTCCATCCATCTTCTTGCTCAAGTCCCATTCATTCAGTGGGGGATTGTGCAGAAGAACAGCCAGGTAGATTGGGTAATAATACAATAAAAAGCTGTTTAGATGTCAAAATGCCAGTTTGCTTTATATTTTACTAGGAAAAAGGCCCGTTGTGGAAATAAATACAGCGGCCTCTAGAAAGAGGCTCTGGGTGGGTGCCCTGGCCTTGGACACTTAGTGTCAATTTGCTGTGGCGACCTCAGCAGGGTATAATGACACTGAGTCCACCATTTTCTCCAGAGGAACTGATCTCTGCTACATAAAGAACAGTTGTAATTTTGAGTGATCTCCAGTCCTCACCTGGAGATTGGCAACAATAGTTCCTCAGAAGGGAATTGTTGGTTTGGAGGGTGGAGCCTATGCCTTTGTACCTGTCTGAGTTCCCATGCCTCCTGAAAGCTCAC